AGAGGAAGATATCTCTGAAGTGTCGTTCCCCAATATTTGCTATTGCTCTCTAATATTTACTGACACTCTTCTCCTCCAGACGTCCCTTTGTTTCTCTAAGATGAAATTCTCAAACACAATGACAAGGTAAGCCTGAGAAAAAGACAGACTTTCCACTCCGACTGAAAGTCACAGGTATTTGTGATTTGCTTTAATTAGTTTCTTTGAAAAAGTCTTGAATGTTGAGCGGCAATTCAATTTTATTTGTAAGCGCCAACATTATTATTATTATAATAATAAATGCATTGTTACTGGAAGTTACATCTTCATAAAATCCAATGTAAACATAATACATATACTAACTGAGCTAATTTAAATAGGTCTATATACAACCTGTGTCATGGTTTCAGTTGTTAATGAGCTGTTACACATGTGTAATACAGCCTTGCTGCTCTGCCTCACTAATTAGTCAGCATTGCACAAAAAAACATTTTCCCATGGAAACCATTAATGATAAAACTGTTAATGAGACACTTTCAAAGTCTCAACAAAAAGGTCAATCCTTCCTTAGTTTTAAACATTACAATTTTATATTTCGGACTTTTACAAATGTCATCCTCATGTAAAATATCTGGTCTGAGACGAGTTGAATAAGCAACTGTAATTTGCTTAATGCTCTCTTTTTCATTGGACTGACTGTGTGCTAACTCCAGTACAGAGCTCTAACAACTCCATGTTGTGGCTTTAGAGTGCTGCGAAATACATTTTGAAATACATGTAGTAAAATTATATCTAATGTCTCAAATAACTTTCACTTCTACAGCTTTAATTACTATAATTCACACTCACACAAAGTGTCATGTGGTGCTCGACGTCACAAATAATTTAAAGGTAATTCAAATTATGATTAAAATGGTGCAGATCTAATTGGATAGAATTCCTTCTATTGTTTATATCCCTTATATCGAAAATGTAAAGAAAATATTTTACCCCAATAAGATTAAGTTTTGGGGCTAAAGCTCCATAGGCCGCCATTCATTCTGGACTACCTCATGAGCGCTCCCTACACATCCAGGAAGTCATGAGATTGGACGTTCTTCCTGTATTCGAAATTCTCTGGTTTAGTTAACAAAATATCTCTAACTTCTGTCATTCGTACTCCAAGTATCCGACACACACACACATACAGACACACACACACACACACACACACTCACACACCCACAGGCACTGGGAACCGAGTGTAAATCAAGGCAAAATTCCTCCAGTTGGACAATTCATTTGTCCACAGGCTTGTTAGGCAGGAAGAAGGAGGAGAGGGAGCGTGTGTCAATAAATCATCTGACGCCCGGCTATATTTATGCCCACAGCAAAGAGTTTAACAAGGAGAAGCAGTCCTTGAAGCAATATCCTAAGTGGCACTTCATCCCTGTCTTCTCCTTCTTCCTCCTCTTCTTCTTCTTCTTCTTCTACACCCCCTCCCTCCCTCTGTCATCCCACCACCCCCTCCTCATCCCTCATGAGGCTTCTGATTGTGAAGTGGCAGAAGATGCTTCAGCTACAGACAGACAGGAAGAGAGAGAGAGAGAAGGAGAGAGAGGGAGAGACGTACCCAGACACCCGCTGCTGCCGTCTCTGGGCTAAAATTATCCCATGAGCCAGAGATTTTGAGAACTTCATTTCCTTGTTCATAATTAAACTCCTCAACCTTAATCTGACCCAGTCATTCTCCTGCTGTAGCCGAGCGGGGGCCTTCCTGCAGCGCTTATTGAGTCCCACTTATTACAGGGATCAGAATCCATCCTCCACTTCAGCTGCCAAGTGTGGGTCACCCTATTCAATTATTATTTGCCATTCATAGTGCCAGAGATGCTGGAGATCCTGCTGGCCGGTGCATTCACATGGTGGTGAAGAGCGAGCGCAGGGTTCAGGAGAGGTGACCAGGCTTTTTTTCCGTGAGAGGTTCATTTGTTGATAATGTCTCCACTGTGCATAATATCCTGCTCAGTGCACAACTACAGAGGAAGCCCATAAAACAAAGCACTGTGCATGCCTGATCCTGTATTATGCTTGTCAGACCACTAGGTGGCAGTCCTGAACCAGGCCTCCTCGGTTCTTCCTGCTTGTTTCCCACACTCTTCCACCCACTGCTGCTTTAATTACTGCCATGAAAGAGGGAGCTGTTTGTTCTGCTGGCTCCTCACAGACTATCATCATCGCTCAGGCTGAGACTGACAGTGTTGTTTTGCTGTCAAAGTGATTTCCAAATCAGGAATAGAAAAGAAAAAAAAAGAATCTTATTGCAAACAATCAATGCTGAAAATAGCAGCTGTTCCTTTTCCTCCTGACCCTCTTTGCAATTATTGTCACAGTCCAACTGAATGAAGGAAAATAGGGAAATCAAACGTACCTCAGCAGGGTTTTTCCCAAATACAACAGCCCTTGATTAGCTCACAGGCTCCTCACCAAGAGAAGGCTGGAGCCTTAGTCGATGTCATAAGGTGCCATAATCACCACGCATGGGGCTGGCTGCCTCGGCAGCACCTTCTGACCTGGATGAGCGCTAGACAACATCTGAGAGGAAAAAAGGGAGCATGTAGGTTATCTGGCACTTTCACCAGCTGTGACAGAGACATAGCCTGGAAGTGTGTCTGACACCACGGCAGTATTAGCAGATCTGTCAGTGTCAGCCCCATGCCCTCAGCACTAGAGTAATATCATATCTAAAAAAAAAAAAAGAAGGAAGAAGTGCGATCCATCCAAGTTAACCCCACAACTGTGTGGGAAGGAAAACAACAGCAGCCAGATGATCGGCTCTGTTTCCATTGTTGCTGCGCCCTTTATGAACCTGATTTAGTGTGAGCCCAGAAGTGTGTCTTGTGCTCAGCTACATGATTTGAGCTGGGGTGGAGAATGGGATACACGCTCCACACAAAAAGCCCCCGCACTCGGGTCGCGGTGGTGAGCCTCTGACCTCTCTCGCTCAATGGGCATTGTGTGGCCCCGTGGATCTGAGGGTAAAACAATCCCTATAGGTTTAACAGGCATGAAGGCAGGAAGGATAAAGCTGGGGGACACTGGAAGGAGAGGTTGTCTTCCATGCAGAAAGGGCTTTGCCCTCAGCGTGCCGTGGGTCAAGGCCAGTGGGGTAATCTGAAAGGAAGAAGGCCACTGACAAGGAGATAAAGGAGCTGGTGGAAGCCCACTTACCTGAATACTACAAACACATGAGCAGCTTTTAGCCCAACTTCTACTTAGTCTTATTCCTTTGAATTTGATGTCACCTGTCTCCGTTCTGTTTCTAAATAGTTGTGTGTGTATGAATAGCAAGGAATGGCCAGCATTCAGTGTGTCACAGCCCAGGCAAAGGGATTAGTATGCTATGACCTGCTTTACAGACAGTGGAAACAATAGCCTCTCCTTTGTTTTTTCATTCATCCTCTCTCTCTCTTGAAAACTGTCTTTTTTCTTTGTGGTCCTACCTCTGTGGAAGCATAATGTGTGCAACAAACAAGTACAATGAAAGTGTGACAAAATAATGCTCTCGGTGTTTAATCATCCTTGTCCACTGTTCTCTTTCATGTAACCTATTTTTTGGGTTTCTGGTCTAAAAAAAACAATCTAGAGCTGAATTCCAGGATTAGGCCTTGTGTCAAATTAATTCAGTTTTACCGGGCTATGGAACAGATGGCTGTTTCATTCAGGAGTCTGGGTAGTTTTGTTGCTTGGCAATCTCCAGCCAAACCAAATCAAAGATCATAAACTGTCACTTAGGGGGCAGTGGAATCTGGTTTTGCACGCAATCTGACCGCAAAAGCATCGGCCACCATACAACCACGCGTTGCCACTCAGAAACCTGGTCGGGTATTAATTGGTGGTTAAGATGCGATGCCACCAAGGAACTGCTCCCAGGAAGAATAAAACCCACAAAAGTAACCCAAAAACAAATTAAGGGTCAGCCAAACTAGCCATAAAACCCATGTCCTGGGAGTATTTCGGTGACATGATCGAGGTAAAAATTTAGGACAACGGCAGAGCCACATTTGAGTGGCACAGATGTACTTTAAAGTCCCTACAGGAATATGACAGGAGTGTCTTTTTATTGGAGAGCCTTATTTTAGATAGCCTACAATTAGCCTCCTCCAAGGTTTAGCTTGTAAAACTGATCAAACTAATCAAAAATGGTTTAACACAACAGTTTAGGCATTAATGTCAGTTGAAGGACACGTTGCCTTTGAAGAAATGGGAATTTAAACGATATCCTGCTGCATTTCCACCATATTACATGACGGTTTCTGTTTATAAGGCTTTGAAAACATTCAAATGTTGGCAGATAAAGTTGATTTAAATGTAAGTACTTCAGTATGTCATAGCCACTCATTTGTTGTGAGTTGAGGTGGTGGACGAGCAGGACCGGACGTTTTGATTTGGAGGCTGTTTTGTCCAGTAAAGTGATACGTACAAGCCATTATTTTGTTATTTGAATACTGTGTTCATTTTACCCAGAAACCTCGGTGTGTGTGTGTGTGTGCTCTATAATGGAATATGAACTCCAGAGTGGGAGCTGTGGGCCTGCTTGTTTTATAGGGCTTTTCCTCTCACTCTCTCTCTCCTCTGCCCCCGTGTCTCTCTGCCTCTCTCGCCCATTGAGTCAAGGCGGGAGTTTACAGGAACAGCAGGCAGGCAGGGCCTTGTCACACCGCGGAGCAACACAGGAATGTATTGTATGCGTTAGAAAGACAGGACAGCCGGGGCCAAATAGTGCGCCAAGTTCCCCAAACCCGGCCTGCGGACGTTGAAACGCGTTATATTTACTATCCCGCGACTGGACAATCAGAATGAATTATGGCGGAGTGTTTTACGTGACGTAAAGGGAGAGAACTTTATCGTTTGTGGCTGTAAAACAAGAATCACCAACACGCACACACAAGTGAGCCGCGGAGGGATCCTTAAGGTTGCCAGTGAGTGCTGCGGCGCTGAAAGCACACACAGTAAATTGAGGCTCCGGCTGCGGAGAAAACCCGGAGCGGAGTGTGATTTTAATCTGAAGTAAAAACGCGTTTAAAAGTGGAAAAACGAAATAGTAAAGTGTACCGGAGCTCCACGCGGTCTCAGAAACACACCACCCTTGAGTGAGACTGTCACATGTTTGATATGTAAGTAGATTTGAACCATTTTTAGCCTTGGCATGCTAATGGTGAGGCTGTGCATTGGAAGGAACTGTGTCTGTGCTGTGACCTCCATCCAGACTATGAACAATCTCTGGCTCAACTGTGAGAGCTTCAGACCCCAGATACACGGGGAGAGGAGCTGGTTGTGCTGGTGGACAGTAAACCAGGATGTCCAAGTGTCGAGAATAAACCGAAGGTCAGTCAGCAGTGCATAACCCCGAGGAGGCCCCCCCCCCAGCACGACTGGCACCATTGAATAGAGAAGAGAAAAGTTAGCATGACGCTACCCTCCAATGAGTCTATCAACGCTACATCAACGTTAATTCTAATGTTAATATGTCTAAACTCACGTCATGCGTTCTTCTTATTTCCTCCCCCAACTGCTTTGGTAAATCCAGGCTTGTACATAATTTACTACCCAGAATAAATGCAAACACATTGGCTTGGTCATTGGAATATGATATACAGTCGTTCCTAATGACATAATACCTTATTGATTTTCAAATAACTGGTTTTATGTTTTAATGTTGTTTTGTACTTTGCAGTCTCTCTACTTAACATGTGTACTGTGATGTTTCAATATTTGCCCTTGCCCTTCAGTTGAATTATGTTCGTTTTGCTCCATTATGCAGCTGCAGCAGTCTACTTTCATAAAAGTTTAACCTCATCAAGGATTTTATGGACAAACAGGAGTGCCAGTCATTAATTTTGGATGTCATAAACAAGTTTATGTGCATGCTGAGCTGCTTAGGCAGGCATACATAACAAAGCCAGAGCCAGTTTGGCTTAAGAGCACGCTGAAGGCCAGGTCCATGTGACCACAGACATGTTTAGATCTACAGTATCTAGACGGCAGCACACATCCTGTGCAAGCTCTTCCGTCTGTCTGCCCTGGAATACCGTCAGAGATAATGATTCTTCCCTTGAACTTCAGGGAATTATTTGGAAAGGATAGCAAAATCAACACACCGTCTGTCAATTATCCCCCCGCTATTCTAGGTCCTTTGGTTCTTAAGTGTGTTCAGAGCATCAAAGGCCCATCAGAGATGTCGGCCTAAAGGGATGCAATTCATGGTCTAATCAAACATTTGGGCACCTCTGTGTTCAGTGTCATGTGCCACAGTTTTCAAAGAAATTAGAGATTAAGAAAAACAGAGGGGAGAAATCCCCCCCCATTGGAGCAACAAGACTTCAAACCCATGCACATGTGCTCACTCCCACTTTTTTTTGTGCTCATCCTTTCATGCAACACAGAAAACCATAATTTTCGTTACCCCTGTGAAGAATTGCGATACCAGAGCCAAAAATATGTATGGTCTTTGTTTATATTTTCTCTGATTGTATTAATATTACTGGCTACTGATGGCCCAGCACTTGTTATCAAGTGTCAAACAGATACAACTTGTTACATGTCATTTGATAAAGGATGCAGATGAAATGTTAGTGTTGTGCCTACGTTGCTGTTTTGATATGGACTCCATCACTCAGTGCATTTGGTATTGCAACTGTTATGCCTCTGCCTGGCCTGATAATACCCTTTCTCTACCAAGGCCCTTTCTTGACTGTCACGTCTGGTTGACACAAAGTGCTGCCACACAGATGGGGGTTCACCCTCCCTCCCTTGAAAACCCAGCTGTCCGCGGTTACATAATAGCGGAGCCTTGTTGGGCTCGCTGGACGGCTTTGTGCGCCTGTCACTGAGTGTGATTGTGGGTAAGATTAAGTGGCGGGTGAGAAACCACAGTTAAGGGGTTCCTACCTGGTATCCTGCAGAAACAACAGAACAAACAGAATCAGAGTTTTTTATGAGAGCACTTAGATGTGGCTCGGCAAGAATTGTATCCCCCTTTCACACCACACGTTGTGTTGATGAACAGTCTCTCTTGCCTACATGCTGGATTGTTAATGTATTGTCTAAGTAAACATCTCCAAGGGAGAATATTGGCTACATAGTCAATCCATGAACTGAGCATCCAGTGGTGGTGTATTTGGACAAATGGCACTTATTTTCTTAAATGTATTTAAAGTTGTAATACAATTCATCTGCACAGATTCAGAAACCTAAGGCTGTGCTGAATTTCTGTAGCCCCCAGCTACAATCAATAACTGCTTATGAAATATCATGTAATGTAATAAATTCACCTAAAAGGAAAAAATAAGGAAGATCTGAAACCACAGCCCAATGGCAATACAGCCAAGACAAGGACATGCATGTGATACCAGTAAAGATGATTTAATAACAACTGTGTTATTGAGCTCGAAGCCATAAAAATCATAGGTGGTGCATGGTGGGGTGGGGGGAGTTGTGTTGGGGGGAGTGGTGTTGCGAATTTATTGTAGAGAGGCCTGATTTCCCCAGGGCTTGTGTTGTTAATTCAGTGCATTATAGCACTGTTTACCCAAAGATGGGGCCAGAGCAGCTTCAATAGGGGTACGGGTCTCCCTGAGAAGTCGCCCCCAGAAGGACGCTCCGCTTGGCCTTGGGCCAGTGACTTCTGCTGGACTGAATCCTTTCAAAAGCTACTCCAAGTGCTCCATCTCTGTGTAACAGGCATCCTGTGGGCCTGCTGGACGAGATTCTGCTTCTTCCTCCTCTCAGTCTCCTTCTTCCTGCCAATCCAGACCAGCTTTTTCCTCTCTCCCCCTGCTTATAACAGAGAGCCAAGCCTTACATTAAATCTGTGTTTCTGCATAACCGGCCTTGTATGTTTCTCTCTCTCTCTCTCTCTCTCAGTCTGCTGGGCCCTCTTCTGTGTCTCTCTGCTTTCTCTTGCAGTGGAAATAGCGCAAGCCAAGACTCCCAGTGCAACGCTATCAGCGCTTTTTGCTCAACCTGAATTCTTCCAACACAACAGCAAATAAACAACACTGTGAAAAGGGAGGAGGAGGAAGAGAAGGGGGTGCTGTGGAGAGCACGGCGGTGCCATTTAAAACTGTGGCTATGGAAACCCCTCTGTCTTCCCCCGTAATATGTGTTTACATTGCCGGGTTTGACTGACAGATAAAGGCACACTGGGGGAAGAGCCTCCTTTTAAAATGCATTGTTTTCAGCACCTCCTCCCTGCTTTTTTATTTTCTCCTAAAATAGGCCCCTCCTGGCAGGTCAAAATGAGGCAGAATAAATTACTTTTGCTGTTTTGCCCCTCTTTTCCTTCTGTGTTGAATTGACAGTTGCACCTCAGAAATTGCTTGCCTTAGTACCTGGAATTAAGCATTGTTGTCTCTGGCTATGCTCCGAGAACCCCTTTTATTGTAACAGTCTCAGTGAGGATTGCATATATGGCGCCTGCTGCTATCAAATGGAGGATATCAAAATCTCTTGGCGAGGCGTTCAGCCAAATCCTCCAGTAAGAAGGAGCCTTGTAAAGACACTGCCACTCTAAGTTCATAAATGAGGTGATATTGTGTGTTTAATTAGGTCATATTGATCAATGTTTTTACACTTTGTTGTCACTTTTGCAACTTCACATAGCCTCCTGAAGTTATCTGGAGGGCCTGTATGTGTTACGATGTCTAAGTGAGCCCATGTGAGTAGTCACAAAGATGTCACTTTGGAAAGACAACAAGATTTGTAGAAGTTTAAGTGATGAGGGCTGATGCTGGTGTTGATGTGCTGTAAACAAAAACATGTGATACATATAGCCGAATTAAGACGTTATGTCCGGCCTCCTGCATGTTGTGTCACCCCTCGTCTAATTGATCTGGAGATTTTTTTCTTCATATGCGAACGACATGCTTTTTTGGAGCTGTGTCTGAAATTTCTTATGACTAACACTGAATAATAATAACAATATTTTGCACCGTTACTTTATGATATTCATTGATCCTCATTCTTGCACTGCTCATCTCACACAGAGACTGAGAGCTTTTTGATGAATCACTTTCTGTTTGTAATGCTTCTGTAACCTAATGCTAAGTTGTGTTTGGGCCAGTTGTCTGGAGGAGACAAGCCATACTACAGAGACACATGCCAAACAAAACCCTTGGTTGGCACTATAATGTGGGCATCATGCCTTTGCCAGCCTTTACTCTGTAGGGCCTGTGCCAGCCTTTTATAAATGCCCTATTTGGCAAGAGCCGTGCCCAGCAGTGTCTCTTAAGGTTCTGGTTCAAATACCCTCTTCAAATGTGAACCTGATCCAAATCCTAAATGATCCAAATGATGCGTTCCAAATTGTAAGCTCTCATATCATATTCAGAGGAAACCTGGATTATGTCTTATCAACTCGACTGGCAACAGATGGGGGAAAACTGGAAAGTCATATGTGCAGCCTCATTTTACTTTATTGTCACACATTATAGTAGATTTTGTTCGTTAATCTCAGCATCCTCCTCCCTCACCATGCATGGAGAAAAAGGTGGCAGCTGCAACACATTAGCGTTCATGGTTTGTTTTCTCGGTATTCAGCTCGGGAGGTGTGTCACCCAGAATTACAGCAAAAGACCAATTACAGCTGAATGTCCTCTCTTTCATCAGCATTTCAATGCAAAGATTTGAGATCCGACCCCCAGCCAGCACCAGCCCTATTTTCAACCTAGCCCTGCAGTCTTCAGGCCGATTATCAGCCCCAAAGAATAGTTGTTGCCCTCAAAGGCCTTGTAGTCCCCTATCTAGCAGCCTCCCCATGGAGTCAAGATAAAGTTTTGTTGTCACAGTTGACTGGTGGGTGGTGTAGGATCCCTTTCAACCCCACCCGCTGTTTTAGCAGGGATGCAAAAGGTCATTCCTGAAGTGTGCCGGCATCAGTACAGAGGAGCACTCAGATCATTGTTAGGTGCCTTTTCTTGGGTGGCCCTGTCAGCCCATATAGCTTTCTTCCCATCAAACCCATCTTTATGGTGTCACCTTGCAAACATTACATTTTATATGCCAAAGTTTGTGCCCCATGTTTCCCTGAAAGCCTCGGTTTGTGTTTATCCTCCTTCAAACAGAGCTGTCTTGCTTCCATGTTGACTCCACCACCTATCTCACATCAAACTGCTATGCTAATGTATTCCCTTCTTTTTTTGGTCCAATTTCACTTCATTGTTACCCTTTGTAGGTTAAGGCACTCATGCTTGAAACAGCACAAACATCAGCCCCCATAATAGGGACGAGTTCAGGCACAACAAAAGGCGTGTCTGTAAACAATAGGCTAAAAGAGTGGGGCAAGAAAATGATTTGGCTGGTAACAGCTGAAATACATCCAATTTCAATATATGAGAAGATTGGTCTCTTGAGCATCTCGGGGGCCCAGGAAGTGAATTACATCAGCTGTTTTTCAATATAATGCCTTGTATCAAGGTACTGATATTACACACAGAAAATAGTTTTTCCATAAAATGCTCCTTTAGTTTCAACATAGACTATTTTCTGTGCCGGATAAGTACAGCTGCTTACTATTCTTTCTTTTTTTTCACATCCATTCATTCGCGTCCAATTCATCTTCTCTGCCTGCCACAGTTCATATTGATATATGCTCAGGGGCTGCTCTGTAACAGGTAACTTAATCACTCCGTCTTCAACATGTCAATTTCATCCACCTCTCTGCCAGCCCACTGTGCTGTTCATCATGTCTGCATTACAGTTAGCTATTTCACGTCAAAACAAGCGCAGCTCCCCAGACTGCCGACATTGATTACAAACCTATGGCCTTTGAATCACTAATTCAAACGTGCATATTTAGTTCAATTATAGTTTTAAATATTCATAGCCTAGTCTATCTCTCCGTTTTGAATGTGCTGTATGTTTTTGTATAGTTGGGTTAAAGACTTTAAGGGTTTCACTTTTTAACAATCCAAACAAAATGCATGCACCAAACTTTGAAGTCATCTGATCAACTTTAAAACTCAGTTACGGAATATTACTTCAAAGCATTTTATGCTGTAATTGCTCTGCTTTAATTCCAGCAACACTTATTTCAAAATTAGCTTTTCTTCCTGATGGCTTTTTTTTATTGTCAGAAGTCTCTATCTGTCATTTTAGATAAACAAGAAAGATCATGTTATATAATTGGTTGTCAGCTCTTTCAGACCAAAGACACAGACAATAACATTACTAGTTCTGTCCTCAGACCAATTCACATTTGCAGAGGCATCTGGAACCGTCTGCAAAGGTGAGAAATATTAGATTTCTAAGGCTACATCCAACTACATTGTAGTTTTTAAGAACACTATGGGGCTGCATTGTCGCATAGACAAAGATTAAGACGTTTGAAAACTATGACACTGTCATCTACTTTTGCTCTCTGATTGTTTCTTATCAGTCGCAGCTTGAAGGCAAAATGTCATCTCTTACAGTTCCACCTCGTCATCGGTATAGCAAAGAAATCTCTCATCTCACTTTTCACTACTGTTGTTTCTCATTTGTAGTAGTCTGCTCACTGTTTACACCAGCACCAACATGCCCAGTGTGCATTGTGATTTATCAGGTGTGTTTGTATGAACAGGGATTATTACTGATACAGAGATTGTTTCAGTTAAAATGCTGTTTTAAAACAAGAATGTATTAGTATGGATGTAGCATAAGGGATAAGCAATAGAGAACTGAGCTATGGCCAATTAAAACCACCTGTGAGATAGCAGAGTTACAAAATAAGCATACAAACTAAAGGGTACAACTGTTTGTTCTTCTTCTAGAGAAAATATGCAGTGTAGGTTGTTCCGTACTGTCTTGATAGTGGATTCAACACTGGCAGCCATCTTGGTTGTTATTGAAAATGCTTCAGCAGTGCTCTCATTGGACGTTCTTATGTGAGTCAATGAGTCAAATTCTCCCTATTTTAGATAAATGGTTGTGATTAGCCTGAACAGTGTCAGGTGCTAATGTGCTTGCAAATAGTTGTATTTCCAGGCTAACTTTAGTCCACATCTGCATCCGGTATACAACATAGGAACGCAGACATATTTTTGTTCCAGCACTATGTCGGATCGAAGTCTTTGTAAAAGGGACAAGGCATGGCATGTTGTGTTGTGTATCATGCCTGAGATCCCAGATTGCCAGCATACTATGTAAAATCACACACTGGGGCAGCATTACCGTGGCTTTGTTTGGTTCAGAGTAAACAAGCTAAGCCAGCGTAATGAGGTGTGTTCTTAACAGCAACAAAGTAGGATCTGTACAGGCTAAGGTATAGTTGTAAAACAGTGCATTAAACATTTTAATAAAAATAAATTATGATGAAATTGTATTTGAAAAGTAAATATAAAATAACAAAATTAGTGAATTATATTGTTATGAACTGATGTTTCATATTAGTGTTTTGTGTTAATTTATTCAATTACTTCCAGTTTTTGTTAACATTTTTGGTCACCGTAAAACAGATTTTTTTGTCCAAATTGCGAAGCCTCAAGGTATAGGTGAGTTGCTGAGAGGTAGGAAGGGGATTTGTTAATTGGTGCATGATGCATATGTATTTTTATGTTTCTTCTGTTTTACACAGTTTCTGTAAAGATGGCAGGCAGACTTCGTCGTAAGCAGCTTACCAAACATGGACAAATTTTTTTTAAAGTTTATTATTTTTCACAATACTGTCAAAACTTTATACATGGAAGAACATAATATATACCCCTGTATATACCTACACCTATATCCATAAACATATAGATATATACGCAAACATGACACTTATTCACACATATACATATAGATACATACCTACATGGACAAGTTAATGTGAACTGGACACTAAGCTTTTCACATCAGTCTTTACAGTTAGGGGTTATCCTTAGGTTTAGGGTCATGGGGTTGAGGTGATGCACAATCTGTTAACAACATTTTATGAGGGAGAAAACAGCACTGTATTGAGAAAGAGGAAGCATCCTGATGGGCTGCTGTGGCTGACTAGTTCCTAGCATGCTACCATGCTAGCCTTATTTACAAGACTATACAGTTGGTCTTTTGGATTTTTTGCTTTGTCTAGTGTGACTGGCCCTAAAGTTTTCTACAGGAATAAGTTTAAAGATTTACAGCACTAAAATATAGATTTGTAATTGGAAGCTGATCAGTACATCTACTTTATCATCTTTTCCCCCTCTTTATTCTGGCCCTGAATCACTGACAAGATGCTCTCTGCGATTTACAGGAATTGTGATGGTTTGTCAGTCACAGAGAAGCTCACCCACTGGGCTCCATGACCCACAATGGAGCAGTTCCCAGTACGCTTGCAGTGGTGAGTTCCCCTACTACAGAGATGATTCCCCGTGCAGTTTCTTTTCATCTCTGCTGAAAAGACAGCGAGCACTTCTCTGTCCTTGCAGGGTGGACACCGTAATTTTGAGTGCTCTTAACCTTGCTTGGCTTTGTTGAGAGCGGGGGTCCTTCCTTCACTTCACTTGAACACACTGTGAGAAAATGGAGTGTTTAGAACTCAGCGCCAGTGCCGATGTGACTGTTTGGAGTTCATGAATTCAGAGATTTTCAATAAAGCCCCCACCCCCCCTGAAAGAAAAAGGTAGACTAAAGTGCTCCAGTGTCACCTGAACATGTCCTATCTGCTTTGATTTTAAAACCAACAAGGTCCCACAGTTTATTTTCACCTCAGAAATAGGGAGGATTTCATTGCTCATGGAGAGAATAATGCAAGGAGAGAGGAGAGACTGATTGAATGTCTGCTAAGCAGTTCAGGCTGAGCTGTGGCTTGTGAAAAAGTTTGATCCCATTTGATCAAATCAGGTAAGAACAACGACTGAAAGATTAATCTGAAATATGACCTTATAAGGCAGCGGAATAATTCCACAAGTGCTTTTTAATATCTCGCCGTCTATCAAAGCTGTATGTTTGGATTAAACATATACTGAGGTCCTGGCTGCAGGGAGAGACTGTGATTTAAAAAAAAAAAAAAAAAAAGCCAAGATGAAACTGATTGCACACATTTATTTAGGAATTCAGGGGTAAACTGTGGAGAAGTCCCTTTTTTTTCCTGCAAGTTCCTTATTTACAAAGCGGTGGGTGTGTGTTTGTCAGGTGTTAAGTTTAAACAGCAGGTTCCACACATGCACACACGGCATCTGGGAACAAGCCGGATGCCCATTGCACTTCGCAAAGTGGCACTTCCTTCCTCTACACACTCCAGACTACGCGTTGAACTGCTGCCTGGCAACCATCTGGACAGGGCCCAACTGTTGTAACTGTGTGTGTGTGTGTGTGTGTGTGTGTGTGTGTGTGTGTGTGTTTAGTGTCCATGTGTGTGGCCAGGGTAACCTCAGTGCTGGATTGTACTGATGTTCAGCGTAAGTGTGCATTAATGACGGACTCTTGACAGCCATATATCCTCACTGTGTACATTATTGTCAGGTATGGGCTGTGTTTGGCTATTGTACACGTGGGTGTGTACCACGCATCCGCGTGCGTGTGTGAATTCTGCTCCACTCTTGTTAGGAAATTCCACACCACATTATTGGGTCGTCTTGGTGATTGTATGGCTTGATTCCCAGCCTGGATCCTAAGGGATAAAAAAATAAAATCTCCTGAATGATCCATCATCAGTTAACTTGCTCAACAAGAGTTGACACTTTTACTGTCCAAAGATGAGATTAATTGAAGAAAGCTTCTACATTAAAAATGCATATTTAACATTTTCAAAGGCTAACATAAATTAACAGAAATAGAATATTTTGGCTTAGTTAAGCCAATTAAATATTAATGACCCTTAGCCTGTCCACTGGAATTTGTGTTGTGCATTTATAACTAGATTTGATGATATGAATAAGGACTCCCAGCAAATCTGGGCATCTTTAAATAAGTTTTTGCTGCTGCTTCTATTCTAACTTTATTTTCCCTCCTTCTAGTCAAGCGCTGATATCAGCTTAATCATAATTATAAAGGAAAAGTGTTTCTGGATGAAGTCCAAACTGCTGCCTTGATGACGGCTGGGGAAGTCACAGCATTGGGCCGAAGGTGATGCATCATGGTCATCCTTGCGGGGAGGCGGTGGTGGGGCACAAGTAAACACTCTTAAATCATCATCCTGCGACAGATGGGGGGTGTCACATGACCCCCCTCTCTCTCCACCATCCCTTCTGCCTCTCCCTCAACACACACAATCAACGGTCAAAGTGACGAGACAAATGAGACCGACTCCAGGCCACATTTGTTGCAACAATTTGTGAATAAGTTCAGATTTTCTTCTTTGTTTGATCAATTGTGAATTAGACAAAAGCCAGACAGGCCACGATACTATGACACCACGTGGGAAGTGTGAATCTTGTTCCTCATGAGCCAGACAGGATTATAACAGAGAAATAAAGTGTGAAGTTTTCATGGTAACACTCTTTTGTCAAGTCATTCTTCCTCTGTGGGTGGTAACAGTTATAGAAACAGTGGCTGCATATGAACAGCGATGGCAATATCAACCATAATCTACTGTAGATGGCCTTTTTCTGATTCTGTTTGAGTATTGCAGAGTAAAAGACTCTTGCTTTCCACTTTGTATCAGTTTCAGTGATCGTCTTAATTCTGTGTCGAGGAGGTCCTCGAGCTTGGTGTTGAGCTTGTCTGAACAGGCATCACGGCATTTTAAAAAACGCCATATCCTTGTTAAACAAGAGTCCCATAAATAAATGCATGACACTCGACTGCACAGGAGGTCTTCGGCATCATGTTGTTGCCTTCCCACATGAGACTTAACATACCATACGATCCCAGCGCTTTTAAGTCAGTTTGCAGTCACGCAGACGGCCGAAAAGATGAATCTCTCTCAAGGTGAGCGCTGAAAATACAGCACATTTTGAAGCCGCTTCTAAAATAAGACCGCGACAAGAGCATAGAAAGCAGATTGTGGCGCTCTTTATAACAAAATATGAAAGAGGGAAAGAAGAGAGGCTGCACCCCCTTGATAATAAACAGCAAGTTTATGCTGAAAAGAAAAAAGAAGGCCCCTACCCCCACCTCCCTCACAGCCTTGTCTGTGCGCTTTCTGCTAACACACACACACACATCCCTTAGCCTATATAAGCAGACAGCAACTGAGCTGACCCCCCCTACTCCTCCCTCCACCCTGCATACTCTCCTTTATTAAACATACAAAAGCTGCCTTTGCAGCTTCAAAAATTCATTTGGATATTTCTGTTTTGGCTTCCAAGTAAAACTTCAAGTACAAGAGGATCTCTCTCTTTTTTCTTCTTCTTCTTCTTCTTCCACAGACAGAGGGAGCAGAAAGCCCCGCATTGTGGGGAGAGAAAGGGCTGAGCAGTGCAGGCAGAGCTGCTGCTGCTGCTGCCTTCCCATCCCCCACACTCACATAGCAAAGTTCTGCTGCTTTTGCAAGCGGCGGTGCTGCCTTCACGTGCTCCACCCGAGGCTCGTGAACGCACAGTGTCGCAGCGTGCAGGCGCTTTCCGGTTGGAAATTATTCAACTTTGTGCCATTGCAAAAGTGTGCATGCGTTTTCTCAGAATGCTGAATAAGTCAAAGCAACTTGCAGAGTAAAATAAAGGTCAAGCATGTTTTTTTTAATGTTGCAATAATGTCAATTTCGCATCTGAAAAGTACACATTTTGATGTATTACAATACATAAACCATATGCATATAATTTCCTTTCACTTAAGAATAATAGGATGTTGATTTATCAAAACCGAATATTAGGATATTATATTAATATTACATTTTTCACATTTCTTGATTGTCAGTTAATTATATCACAATACTCCCTCAATGTGGTCTTGTGTCAAACATTATACTGTTTTACCGAATTCTATACTATGTGTAGCTGCCACATATCACAGTCCATCCTGCATCAATGTGTTTCTCTTCGTTTTTAAATATATTTATGAGACCCTTTTCCCCACTCTCCAACCACACTCTTATACACACTGCATGTCAACTAAGCTGAGACTTTTCTTTCCACGTGTACTTGTTTATTTATTGCATATGTGTGTGTCTTTCATGACTGACCCCAGGCGTGAAGGCAGAATTTCCGACAGGTTTTAAAGGCAGCACGAAAGCTGCTGCTGCTAGGAGAGCGCGAGGCAGAGAGCACGAAGAAAGGGGGTGGGGAGAGAGAGGGAGAGAGAGTGGTGGAGAGACATAGGGCGTCTGTTCCTATTAATTGTATAGGGCGACTTTAGGCTGTGTGTGTGTGTGTGTGTGTGATTTTACTTTTAACATATAACATGTGATGTGTTGCATTTCACTGGCCTGCACACTGTCACTCCTCCACCACCACAGTTTCTCTATTTTTTTTTTTTATATCTTCACTTCCTGCTCTGTGACTGGCTCAGTCCATCCCCCCATCTATGATCATTTTCTATCCTCTCTCTCTCTCTCTCTCCCTCTCTCTCTCTCTCTCTCACACTCACACACAGGTTGTAATTTCATGCTCCCCTCTACTTTCCTCTGCTCTGCTCACTCCTCTCATTTGCCTGTCGTGCACACATGGCAGCAGCATGGAGGCAGCCACTTCCACCCATTAGCTCACTCCTAACACAGGATGACACTGTAGCCTATTTTGCTCCACTCCTGTGACGAGCTAATAAGATGAAGGGCACAAATGAACGTGAACAGAGAAGAACACACACTCACACACACACATAAACACGAGGCAATCTTTGCTTTCATGATGGTTGAATAGTTATCGCTGACTTCAAGGCAGAGCAGTATGGTCAAGGAAAGGGGGCGTTTTTTAATTGTTTAATACCATAAAAGCGTAGACGCCATGTCTGTGGCATTTAGCCGTGCTAGACTGAAGATTGTGCATTAAAAGCCCATGGCTGTTGGAAACATTTCAACTGAAGTTAAATGTGTCAGACTTCCTTCGGTCATTGTTGCAGTGAAAACTCCTTGTCTGGTCAAACTATGAAACATTACACCACAGCAAAGTAACACATATACAGCACATGTAGTAAAACTGTGTACATATATACATGTATATATCTTGAATAAAGTCAGACAGGCCCGTGCTTTTGTGGCTTCATTAGCTTTATAATCAGTCAGAGGATGACCGGGACTTTAACACTAACGAACGAGCCTTTTCGAAACCCACGACGTTTTTATGTGCAGGTTCGATTCAAAGCGCATCAGCCCCACTATAATGGCTCTTCTTTGGGGACACTGTTGTTATTAGGTCCGTCGGCTCCGGATCCAGTGTTGTTTTCAGAGCCGTGCCGGGTTTTCGTCCTCTCGCGACAGGTCGGTAAGATGGCTGTGTCTCGCGGAGCCTCGTGCTGGTTTGGTTGATTTCTAGCTCGCGCTCTCGTTCTGTAACAGAAGCCCCCCCCTCCCTCAAACACACACACACATACACACACACACTCACTTGTGTCGGTGAAATTCATTTCCCTGGCTCTGTATTTATATATTTTTTCTTTCACAAACTTCCCCCCGTCTCTGTTTTAACTTTAACCGGAGTCGCAGTGGATTACCGGATACCGGTCCGGGCGGAGGGCAAAGGGGGGAATGAACCGGGACAGCGGGTACGTTGTTATAAATATAATTGTATTTATATTCAATGGTTGTTCGGAGTTTGATTGTGAGTGAGTCGCCGTGCTGAGAGAGAGAGGCAGAGAAAGAGTGGAGGAGAGAGAGAGAGGGATATCATGGCCGCTCAGGTCGCCAGCGTCGCCACTCTCAACACCAGCCCGCCATCCGAACTCAAAAAGCCGGATCGGGACCCACAGGAGGAGTCGGTACCGGGAGAGAAGCAGCATGAAAATAAGGAGCCGGGACCTGACGGCGGATCTCCCGGTCAGAAGGAGCTGCAGGACGGGACCGATGCTGGAAATGTTGGGGGAGGAGGGGATTCTGACATGAAGAACGGCAACGGGAATTTGCCCAGGGTAAATAATAATAGCAGTAATCAGAATGATACCGGCGGGCCCGAAGGGAATAACCATCCCGGGATGGGACACCACCACCCGGGCCCCTTTCCTCCACCTCCTTACGGTTACAACCAGCACTACAGCCGGGCCCCTTTTCATCAACATGGCGGACAACAAAGCCCTGGCATGGCAGCTGCATCGGGGCCGGGCATGATGGACCCTTACCCCCCTAATTCACACGAACACGGATACCCCAACCATTATAACAACTACAGCCCGTTCCAGAACAGGACTTCTTTTCAGGGCCAAGGATACGGGGCCATGAATTCCCCGCGTAACAACCAGCCTCCGGCGGCTGGGGGGCAGCCAGGCAAGCAACAGCCAGCAGGAGGAACCACAGCTATGGCTGCCTCGTACAATAATCAGAGGTATAACATGGGAAACCAACAACCTACGTCTACGCCAACTTTAAATCAGCTTTTGACATCTCCGAGCTCCACCAGGAGCTACCCGAACTACCCCCAAGGAGACTATAACAATCAGGAAGGGGCCAACAAGGGACCAGGAGAACTGGGCAGCAGTCAGTATGGTGGGGTCCATCCGGGTTGGCAAGCAAGGACCCACCACCCGCCTCCCATGAGCCCGGGAAACACTGGACAACCTCCCAGCAGGAACCAGGTAAACTGCACCGACACACTTTGACTGAGTTGGACTCACTCAGCGGCTCAGAAAACGCTCTGCAGAGTTGCACATTGCATCGGACCAGCCATTGTCTATGTAGCAAGAGCTATAAAATGGCTGCCTCTCTTCTTTCTCCCAACACCACCCCCTGCAACAGTGTTTAGACAGAGAAAGAAGCCTCACATTCTGCTAGAAACAACTTTCTGAGTCGCTGGTGTCGGTGTGTGTCCCCTGTCTGGTGCAGGGCAGGAGTTTGACTAAGTAGAGCAAGAGTTAGTCAGGAGAAACTGTGTGTGTGTGCGTGCGTGTGTGTGCAGAGGGAGATAAAGGTGATATTTCCTCGCTGCTGCTTTCAGCTCTTATTTCTGCTTGAAATCGCCGCGAAACAGCGTCTGTTTTGGGGGAGATGTTCTCCCAGCAGCGCTATGAAAAGTTGCACCAGTGGCTGTCAAGACGATAAACAAGATGCACATGACAAGCGGTGGTCGTTAAATAACATTTGCATAATCATTTGGGGGGAAAAAGCCCCCGTGTGGGTTAGAAAGCGGCCGCACGGGGAAGCGGAGACGTGTCTCACAGTCGTGGCAACAAAGTGTTTACTTCGGATCAAAGTGTGATTGTGGCCGCGGTCGATTCATCCTGACGGAAGGTTTCATTCATTTTGAGGGGCTCTGTTCGCCTCCGATCGCCTCTCCACTTTCCCTTCCCCATCCCCTGCGTCTTTCCCCCCCTGCGTGTGCCGCGCTGTAAACACGGCCCCGCAGGTTGCAGCTGGCAAAGTGCAGATTGCCTTTGCTTTGGGATTTGAATTATGGAGGTAAAATCCTGCTGTCAGAGCCAAGAGACAGTTGGTCTTAGGTTGACATGCGAGCCGAGATCTGATTGGCTCCCCGATCCCTCTGCTCTCGGCCATTTATAATTGCATCTAATGGAAGGCTGCAGAAAAACAGCCCCCCCTGCCCACTTCTGTGTTCCTCCACCGTGTCAAGACAACATAGTTCCATTGTGTTTCTGTGTTTTTATTCATTTTTATCACACTTGTGTGCATTTTTAATAGCATTGTGGTATTTTAATTTTTTTCTATGCATGTTTGTCTGAATATTCCCCCATCATCAACAGCAGAAACTACATGATTAAATTAAGAATAATATTTTATTCACTGGTTATATCATTGTAAGAATTTTATGTACACATTTTATCCAGTTCCTCTCACTGCAGTAATTTGCATGATACTCATGTAGACCCACCATTGTTATTTGTATGATTAAACCTTCCACTCACTCGTGCTGAGTCATATCTCTCATGTCATTTTTAGCTGTTGACCTCAGACGTGCACCTGAAGTTTTTCCCCTTGCTCTGTTAAGGTACACTGTGTGCACTGCTCATTCTAGTCGGCTGACTCTGGTACAGCAGATAGGGTAGGTGTGGTCATGTAGCCCCGTTGTACAGCCGTGTTTTCCACTGTTTCCAGATCAGGAGTTGAGGAGACTTGTGCGCCTGAACGTCTCGTGGCCACGTGAGAGAGTTGGACTGGGTGCAGTTGGGTTTGTGTCAGCCAAGTGTCACAGCTTTTCTTTCAGCAGGTTTACCTAAGTCTAATTTACTTCCACATGCAGAGTGTGTAACCATGTCAACAGGGCTTACCTACATCTCTCTCTTCAGTGATAACGCATTTGTTGTGTTTATACTCCACAAATATGTGTCATCAGCTCAAAGGTGAATTATGGAGCTCTCCCTTTACCATAGATGACTAATTATATTTAATACATTTATAAATATTATGAATATGTGAAGAATCCCGACGATTTTAACTGCATGTCATGGAGATACCTGCGGCAACAACTGTGATTGGTCCGCTTGGTGTCACGTCCATATCCACAGTGGCCAGAGAAGCATGCAAAACTCAACCTATATTTAAGTGTTGTTCAACATTTTTGATTTCCAACTCCAACATAATTTTATCAGTTTCTCTGGCCAAAATTTAAAGAACATACACAGTGGCACAGAAACACCACAGCCAACTAGCGTTTTGGTGGTGTAATAGCAGAGCAACACACAAACCCACCTCAGTGCAAAGTATAATTGTCATCAGTGACAGGAATGGTGAAGAGAAGTGAACTCACACACAAATCTGGAAGTGGCATTAAGATCTTCTGATTCTAAGATTAAAGAGCGGAGTGCTCTATAATCTTTAGTCTGAGTTCTGTGGTATGCCCTCTACTGGAATCCTCCAGTAACACGCTTAGTACCTAAGCAAGTACGTCAGCAATAGCGCTACTCATGCAGCCAGTTGTTGATGACGTTTCAAAGAAGCGACAGAGGCTAAAATTTAAAAAGAAAACGTATCGCCTGGTACACGTAGAAGATACAGAGGATGATGTCAAGAGAGTTTGTGGTGATAAGAGCTGATGACTGTGTCGGGCTACGTTAAAGGTGATCTTCGCAGCGGAGATAATACGTCACTTCCTGCCTCTGTCTGCTACACCTGGCTGCTCCACCTCTTGCCTGAATAATGTGGAGGGTTTGTTGCTGTTGTGAACTGTGCAGAGAACCTCCCGCTGTGTTGTGCATGTGTGAAATGCAGTCACTGGATAGACTCTGCGGCCAATTCTCCAGATTTTACCAGGAAGTCATGTCTGGAAAATATCTATTAAGGTCACACTGATCGTCTTGAGAAGTGCAGCCGCTACTTGTTGCTTTATACTTCAAGGAGCAGGCTTTTCACATTGTGACAGTCGCTGTATGACAACAGGTTAAATTGTGGACACTTAAAGCCCTACAGAGCATCTTCGCTCATTTGTAGCTCTGTCTAAATGTCAGCAAAAGTGTTTGGTTCTTCATATATTAGCCCACATGCTCAGATATTCTTAGACTTGAACCCAGAGGCTGCACATAATACGGTCATAGCAACATTCAGGCTGATCTGTTATGGTTCATAAAAATCAAAAGGATTAGTGGTGTCATGCTATGAGTCCATCATTCTCTGGGTTGCACCTCAGTGCTGTTGTAAGGAAAATTTGGATTTAAAAACAATATTTTGTCTGGTATCATTTTGTCCCATGTGCAGATAAATGTACATTTATAATGAGGCCAGCTTTATATTTTGGCAAACGGGTTGAATTGACAGAATCTCAGTGTGGATTGGGTGTTTTTCTCAGTTGGAGCTGTGGTTGGACATTTTGGCAGTTAGGACAAAAGCAATTTTTTATTTTTGAAGTGACATGTTTTGTCTGGCTTTTGAGAGTATTCCTGTTTATGTCTCTAAATATCAGAAGTCATCTAGTCATTCGACCCAAGTTTGTTACTGAGATGTCCAAATGAGATATGATATTCCACACATATTAGATGACTCACACATAAAATGATCTTATCTTTTTATCATATTTGTCTTTTGATCATCACTTATTCTGAATAGATGAAGTTAGATCAAGACGTGGATCAATCTCAGTAATCCCACTGACTCGGTTCTGTCCTGTGTTGTGTTCAAATCAAAGACAGAAACGTAGCATGTATTCAACATGGAATAAGTGCATCATCTTTGCCTCAACATCTGAATGTCTCAGCTATTTGAATTTGTGTTTAATTATTATTGTCAATGACAATATGACAAGATTGATGTTGATGCCTTTTCATTACTAGGTTTCCATCCATCCAGGTTTTTTCCATACGAGTTAATGTGCTTTCAGGGTAGTTCTTTGCTGAAGAAGCCACTGAGGCTCATTGTGTGAGTGGATTGTCTGGGATGGTAATTGAACAGTTTGGTTGTTAAGCATACTTAAAGGTAGCAAAAACTGTATTTTTGCAGAAGGTAAAATTGCTGTTTGAAAAGCTCATTAGTGTCAGTGAAATGGGAAGAATAAGAATCCCTTAAAACTGGAGCTTTAAGAGGAGTGTGTCTTGGTGTCAGTGGTGCAGGTGCAGAGAGAACACATTATTGTAATGCATAGAATCCCAGGCGAGGAGTCTGGAGGACAGGAGCACTCACTCAGGACTGTGTGAGAATAGTGTCCATTTTTTGGGGACATGAATTGTTGTCAAATCGCTGCACAGACATGTCACTTAAGGCCCTCGCTGTGTGCACATAATGTTCAGTCACAGAGCCTGCGTGTTTGATGTTTTGACTGTCAGGGTGACAGTAGACCAAAGTTCAGGTGCAGAGTTTTTCCACAGGCTGAGGAGCTGTTGGCTAGTCAGCTGTCTTTTAGTTTATTAAATGCTTCAACTCTGCATTCATTAACAGCACCATGATTGGCCATTTCATTGGCAGCTATATCTCCCGTAATGATTCAATGGATGACTTTTATGGAGCCATTCACCTGCCCTGGGCCACCTGCTGAAGATGAATTAGTGTGTTAATTGAGTGGTGGGTGAGGGCTAATATTATGGGCTTTCATCACGCCTTGCACACAAACAAGTGCTCTGAAGTTGTGTGCAGCAGGGTTGTTGTGGATGGGATGATGCCAGGTGTTTCCCTCCCACCAAACACATGGGAGTGAGCCATAAGGGAAGCACCCCACCACCCCCACCCCCTGCCCCAGCTCTGCAAGGCTGACTACTTAAATTGAGTTGGAATTAAATCATAATCAGAGACACATTGCAAATATATCTTTGACAAAGTCGCACAGTGGAAAATGATAATGAAAAACACCAAACTCAAGGTGTTTAATTAATTAATTGGCTGCTGCTAATAGACACAGAATGCTCTGGTGGCGACATACAGGGAGACCCCACACTTACACCACTTCATTTTGTGCGTGATTTTTGTCAAGAAATGAAGATGGATTATATTTAATATTTAACAGAGCCAATTTCTCACCTCACTTTGCACTGTTATTTAAAAGTGAAACTAACTGAGACATTAAACAGACAAGTATCCACTTATTTTGCACACAAGAGCTGCGCAGTGTCACCTGTCTGCTAAAATGCTTGAAATCTCATTTGAGACTTGAAGCTTTAAAAGTGCACTGCTAGTGGCAGAGGTGTCCTTCCTACTTACA